TTTTTCACATATGACAACGTTTTTTGACACGATCATACATTTTTCTTGTGAAAAATAACATGTGGTGCCTAAAAACCACATGTGACTATTTACTTTATTATTTTCATGTGTTTATTTGAGAACAGTGCTTTAAGAAGTCAATAACGTTTTTGCCTTCTCCTATAAAGTTACCATTTTGGAGATACATGTTTTTTGGATGGTGATGATTAGGAGCCCTTTAAAGTGATAAATCTTCAGATGTAAAAACAGAGTCTCTGCTTTCTGTCAGTCATTACATGAGTTGCGCTACGCCTCGGTCAGTCCTTGGCACTTCATGCAGCGAAAAGAGTGTTGAAAGACAGCATCTCTTCAGAATGATGAATGTGGGTGGCATTTGTCACCGGTTTTCGAGAGCCAAACTCGTCTAAAACACAAGAGCAACTTGACGAAAGAGATACAGAGATGTGAGGTGGGGAAAGAAAGTGAATGATGATGCAGCACTCTGTCACCGAGGAGTACGGATTGCTTTTTATTTGAGCACCAATTCACACAGGCTAAACCACAGTCACTCACCTCGGCTTCAGAAAAGTAACAAAAAGGGCGATAACAGGCAGAGAGAACCAACAGGCGTGTAGAAACAGCCGACTCAGTCGACAGCTCATTAAGACATTCTCACTCTCCCATGCAAACCGTGTTTGCAAGGCAGAGGAAGAATGAACGAAGGCATGGTAATATGACAGAGACCACCTGCGTTGCTGGATGCTGGTCAACAGCTTTATGTACTGGATTTACGGTGGTTGACCATGATTCTCTGTGGAATCCAATCAAGCCCAGACAATTCCTAAATATCTTAGGCCATGATGAATTCATTCACCCAGACATGATAATCAGGGCACTCACTCATCACATTGATTTATGTTTATGTACACTAAAACTGCACAATAATATATACGCTGCATGGCCAAAAGTATGTGGACACCCCTCCTAATTATTGAGTTTTGGCATTTCAGCCACACCCATTGCTAATAGATGTATAAAATAAAGCACATAGCATTGTAGTCTCCATAGACAAACACTGGCAGTAGAATGGGTCGTACTGATGAGCTCAGTGACTTTAAACATGTCACTGTCATAGGATGCCACCTTTTCCGCAACTTATATCTAAGATATTTCTGCCCTGCCAAATCTGCCCTAGTCAACTGTAAGTGCTATTATTGCGAAAGAGTGACAATTGCTCAGCTACGAAGCAGCAGACAATGCAAACTCCGAGTGCTGAATCATGTAAAATCACTTCCCCTTTTTTGCATCACTCACTACAGATTTTCAAACTGCCTCTGAAAGCAACATCAGCATCAGAACTGTGTGGCAGGAGTTGAAATGGGTTTTCATGGCCAAGAAGCTGCACACAAGCCTAACATCACTATGTGCAAAGACCAGCGCCAAGTGATATTGTTGGATCTCCGTCCAACACCTTTGGGATGAGAAGGAGTGACGTTATAGTGAACAATACTACTCAGTTAAATGTGAGGTAAGAAATTGTGTGTCGTGTTCAATATTCAAAACTGTTCCTCTCTGATTATGGTAACAGGGATAATAATTTAGCTATAATGAAGGGGCCTAGTGGGTCATCCTCACTGTAGCAATGCTTGCTAGCCAGTCCCTTAACCTGTAACTAAGCTACGGCACTGGTCTGTACACTGTTTTGTCTTTGTGTAGTGTTTTGAGGGTGCTTATTTGCATCTTATAGTCTTTATTTTATAGAGCAATACTTTGAACAATTCTCTCATTCCTGTCTCCGTTAACAACATGACAGTACATTAATGCTTGGCCAGCATCTGTTGTGGAGACAAAAATACCTCTCTCTCTCTCTCTTTCTCTCTCTCTCTCTCTCTCTCTCTTGCTCTCTCTGATCCTGTCAGCCACACGATTCTGGTTTCAGGTGGCAGTCTTTGCTTCTAAAATGAAAGAGGCTCACCTTTCAGTCCGGAGCCTCTGTCGGCCCTTCTGAGGCGCTACAACTTACAAACAACACAAACACACTCACGCAGGTCCCTTTCACACACACACAAACACACACACACACACATACAAGCATGTTCACCATCTATAAACAGAAGCTGATGTTCACTTGCTCTCTCTCTCTCTCTCTCTCTCTCGTCCTTTAACCTTGATCTCCTGTCACTCTGCCTTTCTCAACACACATAAACTTCAGGAGAAAACTTTAGAGAGACACAGAGACAGAGAGAGAAAGAGAGAATGAGAGAGAGACCGACAGACAGACAGAGATAGAAAGACACAGAGAGAAAGAAAGACACACCTGAGCAACATTTGAGCAATAAGAGAGAGAGAGAACGACAGAGAGTGAAATAGAGAAAGATAAAGAGAGAGACAGGCAGACAGGGAGATGAAGAGTTAGAGACAAAAAGAGTGGCAGTGAGTTAGAAAAAGAGAGAGTGAAGAACAGAAAGAGCAAGGGAGTGACAGAGAGAGCAAAAGAAGAGAGTGAAAGAGAGACAGAGAAAGTGAAAGAGTGAGAGACAAGGAAGGAGATGGTGAGAGAGAGAGAGAAAGAGAGAGACAGAGAGAGAGAGTTCAGAGAGAGAGAGGGAGAGAGTTGAGAGAGCAACACAGTGAGAGAGAAAGAGAGAGAAAGAATGAAAGAGAGTGAGAGACAGAGTTTAGAGAGAGATAAAGAGAGAGAGAGAGTCTGAAGGCCGGCCTGAGGAAAAAAACTATTAGCTGTAAACTGTGTTCACAGAAATCTCTAATTGTTGCGCTTGTCCCATCATGCTTCACAATTATAGTCATTAAACAATGTTCTGTCTGTTCCCACACCTTTATACAGATACCTGATTTCCCAAAAAAACTGGATAATACTCAACACTTTGAAGTTAGCCTAAGTGTTAGCCTTCAGGCTAGTTCACAGCTCACCACCTACATCACATCAACATCTGCACATCATTTACAAGAAATAATACAGATTCATAATTACAGAGCATTAAAGAGCATTAGCTGTCCATATTAGAGATGTCATCAGGATATTGGAAGAAAAAAAAGAACAAATCAGCTCAGATTCTGTAACATAGCTAGCCTGAAATATAGCATAACTTGTAGCATAGTACAACATTAAGCAAAGTAAGGCCCTATAGTCACGTGTCAAACACAAGACCCGCCGGCCAAGTCAGACCCGTGGCACAATCCCATTCGGAATTGCAGAATGATTTTAATTTTCTAATCTTTAGCCTGTTTCACTCTGAGATGCACTACAGTCCCCAGCATACACTGCAGCATAGTGTGTGTTCTGACCCCCCTTCCCCCAACAACAGTCTATAGGCCAGTGGGTACACAAAAAGAAAAGATGCCTGGTGTTTAGTTCAAGCAAATAGGCAGTTTAAAAAATTCCTAAAACAATTTATTTTTATTTAGAATTATTTTTAATAAATATGCAATGTCTATTCTGCTGCTGCAGTTTGGGCATATTTTGAATAAACAGTGGCCGTTCGATCATGGCAAAATGTTAGGTAAAAATACATGCTTTTGCTGAGATTTTTAAATATGACCCTTTTAGCGGTTGAGTTTGACACCGCTGCCCTATAGTGAGTAGAAACGGAGTTGAAATTGGCTCTGATACTTTCAACTAATATAATCAAATGAAATATTTTTCCTGTAACTCATATTGTTATCATATTAACTAGGACACTGTTGTCCTTCTGAGTGTGAAATGTTGTGTTGAGCTGTTAGTGAGCAATGAAGAGTGAAAGGAGTGAGGTGAGAAAACAATTCATACCTCTCCATAAAGATAGCCGTTCTGAGATAAAACAGACAATTACAGCTTTCTTCATGTCAAAATTCCATAATAAAAATGACATTTAAGCACAATAAGCACAACACCACTGAGATATATTTGATCCGCATTACTGAAGAAAAAAAATAATAAGAGCTCCCAAAATGAAAATTATAGTTAATAGCTACTGTGAAAAGGAGTTGGTGTAATTTTCCACACATTTGCAGAATATAATTTTTTAAAAAGAATTTAACAGTTGCTTCTGCGCTTAAATTGTAATTAGTTTATTTGAAATCTTAGCTGTTTTGAAAGAAAAACATATTCAATCCACATCAGAATCAGACTCAAGGTTTCGGTCTTGCTGTCAATATCAGAAAAGGAAATGTGTCTTTTAAAAAATGAGCATTTTATTAAAACCTTTGGCAAAAAAAAATTCAATATGTTGAAACATGCAAACTGTTAATTCTATGAGATCCCTAAAGATATGTTTTTTAGCCATTTAAAAATCTGTTTCAAAACAGTAGTGAATCGAAATGCAGTCATGTGCAAAGGTTTAGGCACTCTATTCAAATGACATGTTTTGTTGATATGAAAATAAGTGAACACATCCACCACAGAGAACACACTCCTGAACATTTTAATACACAATCACTGTTTATTTGCTAAATTTAATATATAGAGTGAAAAAGAAGCATAAATTATGGCTTGTGCAAAAGTTATGTTTTGCATTTAATGTTATGTTTTAATAGAAATTGAAATTGTAATTGTAAAACTTGCAGAAAAATGCCTTATTTTGTTCCCTTTAGGTGTGTCAACTTATTTTCATGTAGAAAATCAACACCACATCATTCTACCTTTTTCATATGACTGTAACTTTATTTTTCATGCTGAAGTTTCCTGAATATATTAACCGTGAAAGTAAAAGGAACAGAGCAAAACTGACTCTTTTGTGTGCAAGAATACAGACAGGGCCGTCCCAAACAAGACTATAACTAACTCCAGAATACAAGGCTGTACCCAATACTGCATGCATTGCAGAGCATTCTGTATAAATGCTAACAGGTCCAGCTTAACTATTAATAACAGTTTAAGACTTTACAACTAAAGACTTCAGTACACGACTAAAGACTCAGTCTCGCCCCTCAGAAACTCGAGACTTGACTGGGACTTGCGTAAAGTGACTCATAAACATCTCTGCTCTAAATACCAAAAGGCCAATAAGACAAAGGACACATACCTGGGGGACAGTTGCACTCCTGGGTCAGGTCTCTCGCCAGGCGGATTCTCGGCAGCACTTCGCTCAGCCTCTGATACGGGAGACACGAAATAACACCGTCAGACTGAGAATCCACAGACACAGTAATGATCCCTAATCTAGAACTGCACACTGTGGGGAATATCACACAGCAAGAGGCAAAATATTCAGAGTTCACATCCACTGGGTGGCTATTAACAGCTGTCCAATTGTTCTGTCATTCATAGATTGTGTACAAGATAAAACATGAAATATAGTTGTGTGAAAAAGTTTTTAAAAGGTTAAATGACATTTTGTTGTAAATAATTAACACATCCTCCACAGAGAACACACTTCTGCACATTTTAATGCACAATTACTGTTTATTTGCTGAATTTAATAAAACAAAAAACTGGCCTGTGCATAAGTTATGAAACATTTTATGTCTTATTTTTTTCAGATATGTTAAACTGAAACTATTACGATATTAACCCTTGTGTGGTGTTCAGGTCTGTGGGACCCATTTTCAATGTTTACCAAAAGAAAAGATGATATGGTTTATTATTATTTCATCCTCAGTTTCCTTGGCCTTTTCTGTGAAGAACATATAAAATAACACATTTTCAGTGATTTCAGACTGAACACCGCCTACACATTTATATTACACATGTGGTGTTGGGGTGAACCTGTGGGGAATAAAAGTGTGGAGGTGCTGTGTCCTTCACTCTGTTCTCCTCCTACATGGCCTGCTGTTATGTCTCTGTGTGTATCTATTATATATATATCTGTGTGTGTGTCTCTGTGTGTGTATGTGTTTGTATGTGTGTGTGTGTGTGTATGAGGGTGGACAACATGGACAGGCTGCTGACTGGCTACAGCTGCTAAAGGAGAACCCTATGCTGGACACATCTGGTATTTTTACATAAATTGTTATGACTGTATTGATTTAAAAAAAACAATAATACAGTAGGACCACCAGACCACTGAGTAACACCACACAAGAGTTAAATCCAAAACACAGATATAAATCATAAAGGTTTGGCTTTGCTTATAACATTTATTGTCACATTTCTCCAAAAAGTTTCTCTCAAGAAAAACATGCTACTAAAATTCACTATATGCCTAGAAGTATCCAGGCACTTCAGTGAATTCAGCTACTTTAATGTTCATTGCTTACACATACAGTTTGCATATTCTCCATTAAAAAGCATTAACCAATACAATGGGACACTCTGGATCAGCCACACATGAGCCTAAGATCACCATGCTCATGCTAAGTCTCAGCTAGGGGGGGGTATAAAGCCCCCAGCACTGGGTTGTGGAGCAGTAGAAGTGCGTTCTCTGGAGTGATGGAGCTCCATCCAATACCTTTGGGATAAGTTGCAGTGATCCAGAACTGATCATCCAACATCAATACCTGACCTCACTAATGCTGTTGTGGCTGAATGCAATCAAAACCTTACAGCAATGTTCCAACATCTACTGTAAAGACTTCCCAGAAAAGCAGAGGCTGTTACAGCAGAAAAGGGGGACAAACTCACTAAGAATACCCTTAATATCAGACCTATGGTCTAAACCTATAGTGACTTATAGTGTAACAAAAAACTGATTAAACTGATCACTTATATGCTGATGTCCTCACAGTCTTGCTGGTGGTCCTGGTCATTAACTGCTGTGCTGAATTAGGTATATTTGAGCTGGAAAATAACTGAACTGTGCTGGACTTCTAGCACTGCAGCTGGACTCCTTGGTTGGTAAGCAGTGTGGAACTCAGTGGTCACTAACTTAATGGTCAATATCTTGGAGATTTAGCACCATGCAGATGTTCACCCTTTATATATGACTGTAGTAATATAATACTATTGTATACCTGTACTTAGATGATGCTATCTACAGTTGCATGCAAAAATTTGGGCACACGTCTCCACATTTTAATGCACAATTACTGTTTATTTGCTGAGTTTAACATATTGGGGAAAATAAAACTTCAAATGTGGTCTGTGAAAAAGTCATGGCACATTTTATATTTTATGTTTTACTTTTTGCCATAACAGCCCTTTAGTGCTGTTCTACTTGTGTAATATCCTGAAGTGTACAATGTTAATTTTCTCAGTGTACAAGACGGTCCTTATTGTAGTCGTACAGAAATTCCTATAGAATTATTGTAGTTCTTCTAGCTCTAAACAAGGTGCGAAATACAGGGGGTCCTAGGAGGTCCAGGACCCAGTAAATGTAATCTGACTGTCTCAAATCAAAATTCTCAGCGGTCTCTGCAAATCAACTTATTATAAAGTTATACTGTTCATTAGGGAGAAATACGCTCAAATATAAATCAGAGCTGGTCTGCAACTGTAATTATGCTTGGAATACCTCTGAAAAACTTTACAATGTCCCAAAGCACATTTATAAGTCTGAACACTTGCCCAAATTTGAAAGAGATTGGTGGAAAGTGTGAATTGTTAATCATTTCTCAAACCGAAGACACTAGAGGAGATGTATGAGATCTCAACTAATGTGTGGAGGAGCACATTACCACACCAGAAAAGAACTTTCCAACAGAAGAATTGTTGAACCAAACATTTTGGTGTCAGTGAAGCCAGCACCAGCGCCGCTAAGGTGAGAGAGCTGGCAGTTAGCCAACACTGGAGTAGCCAGCCAACATAGGACCCCCTAAATACAGACGAGTGTTTCACACACTGGCTCTAAACCTCTTCCATCATACATGATGCATGTATTGCCCAACATCAGAAGCCCTCGAAAACATGTATCAGGTGCCTAAGACTTGGTTTGGAGGTAAAACCTACAGTGAGTCAAAAGTAGAGTTGGTGACCACTGGAATGAGTGTCCATGCAATTTCACCAACTCCTGCATCAGAGGTCCAAGAGACAAACATATGAGACAACCACTTTGAGAAATTCAAGTAATAAAACATTCACGTTCCGTGAACTGAAACAGAAAATGGGTCTTTGCTCGAAGAACAACTTTTGGGTCTCCAATGAAGCTTTCAATTGAGGATTCTTTAAAGAACCTGCTTTTTAAAACGTGAAGAACCTCTACATAAGGTAAACAATAAGGTTATATAGCATTTAAAGGTTTTTCCTAGAACTATGCATTCTTTATACCTGGTAAAACTTTGGAGCACTTATTTCTGACACAGTCGTTCAACTGCATAGAAGAGCACTGACCAATAGAACAGGATGCTCTGAAGCAGCCACACAAGAGCCTAAGGTCACTATGCCCAATGCCAAGCATGGGCTAGAGGGGTATAAAGCCCCAGCAGCACTGGGCTGTGGAGCAGTGGAACTGTGTTCTCTGGAGTGATGGAGCTCCATCCAATACCTTTGGGATGAGCTGAGTGATCCAGAACTGATCATCCAACATCAGTACCTGACCTCACTAATGCTCAATCAAATCCTCACAGCAATGTTCCAACATCTGAGTAAAGCCTTCCCAGAAGAGTAGCGGCTGTTACAGCGGCAAAGGGGGACAAACTCCCTATTAGTTTCCTTCATTTCAGAGGAAACCTGGCCGAGCAGGTGTCCACCAGCGTGTGTGCAGTGTATTATAGCGCATAATGAACAGATCTCAGTGCTTTGGAGACGCTGTAACTGACCTATGAAGCTTCTCTGAATTAAGTGAAACGCACTCACTTCTTGCACGATTATTTCCACCAGCTCGCGCAGCTCCTCCGTCATTACAGGCGGTCCAGACTGCTCCGGTACTGTCCGGTCCTGAGTCCGTGTGTCCACTGGGGCGCACGCTGCCCTGTCCTTCTCCAGCGCGAGCAGCCGGCTCTCCATGTCCTGGCTCCTGAAGGTCACCAGGAGGCTGAGCGCCACGGCGCCCACAGCCAGCGCGAGGCAGGCGGTGGGGATGAGCAGCGCGAGGCGCGGAGCCTTCAGTGCGCGCTGCTTCCCGGAGCCCTCGCTGCCCGCAGCCTTGCACGAGACAGGATCCATCATGAAATGCCGAGAGCCTCCGCACCGCTCACCAACCAGTCAGTCAGTCTCTCTTTCTCTCTCTCTCTCTCTCTCTCGCTCTCTCTCTCTCTCTCGAGATCGCTGTGTGAGAGAGCGCGCGCCTGGTTTGCTTTATTAGCCCAGCACGCGCCTGTCCCATTGGTTCCCAACTAAAACTACAGACAACTACAAGAAGAAAATATAAATAAATAATCCATAAATCTGATATATGGTAATATAAGGATTTCAAATATAGGACATATAGTAGCATATATGGAATTTCCCTCATATCCAATCTAAATTTGTCACATATGGATATTTATGTGACGTATACGCCCTGTTTATTTGAATTTGGCCATTTCCTATGAAGATGGCATTTATTACTCATATATACAAACTTCGACATTATTATTATTATTATTATTATTATTATTATTGAATGTATGCTGCTGACATATATGTATATATGATCCATGTTCTTGACATATGTGTTAGACATATATCAGACATTCAGTAGATGTATTTTCCCTATATTATTCATATATGTCCAGTATTTGATAGTTGCATGTGTCCAACATATATGCACATATATTTTGAAAAATATACCTGACGTTTTTTGATATATGTGCATATATAGCCATCAGATTTCTGTATAAAATAATGAGCCCACTATTATTGTTGTTTTCTGAGCAATTACATGCTTTATATACTTCCAGACCTCTCCTCGGGGCAGGCCAGTGTTATTGTAGTTCTCATCCTCTCATCCTACACCTGGTTTGGCTGACCAATGCCTCGCTAAATTAAAGGAGAATCACAGATTTTACAAAATCCCTGCTTAATTCAGTCGTTGAAAAGAAAACAGTCATTCAGAGTAGTTTCAGGTGAAGTGGTTCATTTGCAGAGAAACTTAGAGACTCTGATGTGGTGGTGAGAGGAACCAGGAGTCACAGTGTCCACAACACAAATATAGACATTTTATTTACCGTCTAAAGCCTCCAGTCGAGTTTTATATGTAATGTTGATGTAAAATCATGGTAAATACATTTCCTTTGGGTACTTTTTTGCCTTACAGCACGCTGCCATGTACCCCTTTATCATTTATCCATAGCCTGCTGATAAAACCAGCTCAGCTGATTGACCTTCTGCTGGTACAGCACCAAATATGGTTCCTTTTTTTTGGTACTATACAGAACCATTGTGCTAACAGTGTAGCTAAGGCTAATTAGTAGCCAACAAAACAAGTAACAAGATCATTTTAAAGCATGGAAGTTTGTGAGTTGGTGCATGTATATGCACATCTGACCATCAATGTTCAGCCAATTAAACACAAGCCAACAACTAAACTCATGATGAAGAAAAATGTCACAGAATTTCAAATTAAATTTAATACAACCATTTAAAAAACATCCAATAGTGCCCATTTGGCCATTTTCATCAATTATTTATAATTAAATTTGGATTGCCTGTTTATTTTTTTTAACAATGAGTAGCCCCATTATGCAATGAAAATAGTTTTTAGCCACATGGTTTGATAAATTTGAAAAATGGATTGATTTGTTTGCAAGCAAATTCATTTTAAAATTTCAAATATTGACATTAATGGGTTATACATGTATATGTAGCTCTACATGAACATATCTTTAAGAACAATGCGAAAAAAATAATAAACTTGGTTTGTATTGGTGTCACTATTGGCATTTCAACTAACTTAAGCTCTAGCTCACCAACACAATACATCATTTCTAAGGTTCTGTTTCACATGTGGTGCATATAGAGGAAAATGGGCTGAAACCTGTTAATGGAAATTTGCAAGCATTAAATCCACATTACCTATTGCAAGAAAATGAACTTGAATGAAGGCGTTTCCTTTCCAAGTTTCATGTAACATTTTTAAAATGTTAACTCAAAAACAAACGACAGCGAATGAACTAAACTTGGGATAACAATAATACCTTCGTCCAGACAGGCAGAGAACAGGAAAACTGTGTTCAGTCTAAAGTGAAATACTAAAAGTTCCACAAACTCTGCTGCCATCAAGTGTTTAAACGTGGCAACTACACCAGGCAGTACCATAAATTCAGCTCTTCTCATTGCACCATTAATGAGACAGGGAAAGACAATATAGCAGCTATAGCATGATTTATTGAAGATGAAACAAAAAGTCACAGATTCGTAAAACTGATTCATCCCTACAGTCATGTTCAAACACCAATACACACAATTAATGCATAAGCTGGACGATTCTCCCAAACAAATATTTATCAAATGAGGAAACAAAACCACAAACCCTACAGCCCCCTCCCCTTTAAGACTTACAAATCTGAAACTGATCAGAATGTAAAATACAACACTAATTACAAGCCACAAATAAATTACAAATCATTCAATGAAAACAGTACTGTGCCTATGTGGGACTGATGCAGTCACTTGAACACAACTCTCCCGGAGAGCAGAAACTCAGAATCTACGGTTCATGCTACTTCTGGCCCTTCCTGAGGAGGTCGAAGAAAGGATGTCTGATGGCTTCATCCAGAGTGATCCGCTTAGTCACATCATATTCCAACATCTTCTCAATGAGGTCAAACAGCTCCTCATGTTCCAGGCTTTTGGAGATCATGTATTGCTATTTGGAAGAATCCACAAAGAAAGACCATTAATGCCTTTACTCAGTGGTAAGTGGTTCAGTGAAATATGCTGGTACCAAGTGGCTTGTAAGACAACGACAGTAACCCAGATATACCAGAATCTTAAGGCTATTGACAGCAACGATCACGATTCTTTCAACTTAAAATACACTTGTATATGCTTGTAAAATGTACCAAGTTATTTCAGCTGCAAAACGTAATCTTGTACTAGGAAAATCTTGAGTGCTTCCTAAAGCCTGGCATTATCACAACTGCTGTAAACAAGCTAAAAGATACAAGAAATACAGCTGTATGCAGAAGTTTGAACACTCGTGGTCAGACTGACAATCAACAAAATGTGTTAAGTGAAAATAAGTTAACATCCTCTACAAGAAACATATTTAAGCATGGCATTTTTCCGCAATGTTAGAGCACAATTTCTATTTGTTTGCTGATCTTAACAAGACAAAATATTAAATTTGCCATAACTTTTGCCTAAGCCAATGTCCCCTCTCTATGTTAAATTCAGCAAATCAACTGTAATTGTGCCAAGGGTGCCCAAACTTTTACACATGACTATGTACACCCTAAGGGTGGATAAGAATAAACAGAGAAAGGAAAGCAACAGAATACTGCCTGCTCTTTAGTGTTTTCAAAGGAGACACTCACTCTGAGAGGTTTGCAATGTTTTCTAACGTATCTTCCTGACGAGGAGTGAATGTCCCAATCCAGTTTGTCATGATGGACGTATCTCCGCTTCCTGCAAGACAGTACAAAAGGCACCATTGTAACTGAGTTCATGGAATATGACACAGGCTGCCGTATGACCACCACTGGCTGATTGTACTTGCCTTGTTTTCTGCAGCATTGGTGTTGGTATCGGGCCTAGAACTCTCTCCATCATGGCCAGATGTTCCTTACTGTCATGTGTCTAAAAAACACAAATTTATCAGTTCACTTCAAGTGCTGACGTTATGACAGAAGTGCCCAATTTTTAAAAATACAGGTCAGTTAAAAGCAATCAACTTGCAGGTTACATGTGGATCTCATTATTAATTGGTTGACCCCTCACCTGGAAAAGTGTTGTTCCAAGGTAATATTCAATAAGAATGCAACCTATACTCCACACATCACAGGAATGACTCCAGCCAAGTTCTGTTTACAAACAGACAAAAATCTTGATATGATGACTCGAACACTCACAATCACACAATCAAATAAAAGAATAAATATAGTAGACAACGGAGCATAAAGTGTATAACTGCTCACCCAGAATGACTTCAGGGGCACGATAATGTCGTGTGGAAACCACAGTGGTGTGGTGTTCATGCTCATACGTCGCATTCCCAAAATCAACCACCTTCACATCAGGTTTCTTCACAGTTCTCTCATCCCGCTTCTGAAAAAACATTTTAGAAATTTCAGTTATACGTGTTCTAAGACGTACCAAACACTGACAGCTACACATCCCAGACTGAGCTCACAGTTGTTCACCCTTTATGCTTTTGCACTTACCATTTTTGCATTGTATTCAAGTTCATACTCTGAATCAATGAAAAGTATGTTCTCTGGCTTCAGATCCGTGTGAGTCAGCTTGTTTTTGTGCAAGACTTGAGGAGAAAAAAAAAGGACAATTAGCAACCATTCACCGTTTTTTCACCAACATTTTATCAATGCCCCCATTTAGTTGATGTTTCATTTTTTGTGAATGAAGAATGAAAACATCAGCATCAAAATGTTTTACAAACCCATTTCTACGAAATATTAGGCAGCAGAACTTACATTTGACTGCTCTGATGATCTGGTAGGCCATGTGCCTGATTTGGTCTACAGGAAAGGGCTGAAAGTTGTTCTCTTTGAGGAAGTCAAACGTACTCAAGCCAAGCAGCTCAAATGCAATACACACATGGCCATGGTGATCAAACCAGTCCAGCATTCGGACACAAGAACTGAAAAAAGAGTAGAAAGAAACAAATCAGTACATATCCAAATGCTGTATCCCTACCCAACCACATTTATGTCTATGATAACAGTGTCTATTAACCCTGTATGGATATTTGCATCCAAGTAAACTTAAGTAGAATTAAAACCAGACACATTTTCTTGTTTGACAGGGCCTCGTTCCAACAGTGAGAGACATTAGCACATACTCACTATCTTCTGTCACAGTCAACAGAGTTAATCTGTTCCAGCACCTCAACCTCAGACATGGCTGCCTCTCGATAGCGCTCAATGTTTTTAATGATCTTCAGTGCAACACGGGTGCTCCGACTGCAACAGCAACACAGACCAAACAAAAGGCAAATGGGTAAATTCATCATAACTGATAAAGCTATGAAAGAATACACAAGTCTGCTTGACCTTTCTTTGTTTCAGCAATTTTCAGGCATAGACTGGAGGTGCAGGCTAAAATAAGAACTTACTTTGAGTGATCAATGCATTCAACCACTTTCCCAAAGGCGCCTTCTCCTAGCGTGCACACAA